TATTATTAAAAGGTATTCGTTTGCCCATCCTATGTTTCTATGCACACACAAACGCGCGCGCGCGCGCGCACGCATGCATATTTATGAGCCTTTAAAAAGTATAAATTTCTGTTATAAATTAATAATTTAAATTCCAGGATAAATTAACGACAATGCTGGAATGGTATAATTCGCCGTCAGGCTTTTCTTCAATTTACTCCATAAATTTCAAATAATAATAAATAGGTGATAATACCGTTTGAGTTTGCGCATTTACCGGCTACAAAACGCCATTCACCACTCCAAATTCCATAATTATTCCCCAAAGCAAACCAAACATTTTTGATGTTGGATTTTCTAACCTCGTCGTTAGTGACTCATGTTCTTGCATAGTGTATTTCAATAATTTCATAGTTTTATTTGTGTTTGTGTGATTTTAATGCCAATTTGTTTGAAGATGATCGAAACAAATTAATGCGGCCAGCTCATTATTACGATACATTAGGGTAATGAAGAATACATTGTTAACTAAGCTCGATTAGATATTCAAATTTTGTACGCTTTTATTTTATGTAACCATTTATTTATTTATCATAAAATGTTTGTTATAGATTAAAATAACGTAAAAAAATGTTCAATCAAAGTACTACATTAGCTACAACAACCTCAACTTCATCGAATCCTATGAAGGATTTTGAAGTTGTTTCACCGCCGGATGATTCCATATCAAGTTTAGCGTTCAGTCCAGCAACTATCCCTCAAAATTTTTTAGTAGCTGGTTCCTGGGATTGCAATGTTAGATGTTGGGAAGTTGAACAAACAGGAAAAACTGTTCCCAAGTCAATGCAGGCTATGACAGGACCTATTTTAGATGTTTGCTGGAGCGATGTTAGTTGTTATTATAAATATGATTATATATCTATATATATCAATAAAAACAGAATCAAAATTGATCCGAGTAGCTACAACTATATTAATTATATAAACATTTTTAGTTTTTTCTTATATTTTGTTTGAAAATGAACTCTTTGTTTAATGTGAAGTAGAATCTATTTCGGGTTTATTTATATTTCAATATCATTCACATATGCATGAACAAGTGCATTATAGTATAAAAATAATTTGTAAGATTGATTAAGAGCGATACAGAAATAATTATATTTACATTCATCTTTAAATATTGTGTTTCAAAATTTCTTTATGTTTATTTTAAATTAAATCACTCCCACTCTCTCTCTCTCTCTCTCTCTCTCTCTCTCTCTCTCTCTCTCTCTATATATATATATATATATATATATATATAATTTTATTAGAAATTAATGAAATATTTACAAATATATTTTTATGAAAGCCTCTTAAAATTATTGTTCAATTTTTATTTTATTTAAATTTCAAAATATTATTATAAACATATGATTACTTATAAATAACTACAATTGTAATGATATGAATAGTTAAAAAATTTTTTAATTTAAATTATTATGTTATAATTTTCATTAATATAAATATTGTTTCAGGATGGAACTAAAGTGTTTATGGCATCGTGTGATAAGATGGTAAAATGCTGGGACTTGGCTTCGAATCAAAGTATTCAAGTAGCAGCTCATGATGCTCCAGTAGTAACTTGCCATTGGGTCAAGGGTTCAAATTATTCATGCTTGATGACAGGATCATGGGATAAAACTTTAAAGGTCTTAGTTGACTATCTTAAAATTCAGCTAATGTGCTTTGTTCCGTTTCTTTAAAATTTTAAACAAAATTTTTATATTACTATTTACATTACTATTGCTCCAAAGTTCATGGATACTTAATTTCTCATTATGTTTATAGTACGTTTAATACTTAAAATCGAAATTCTGCCATTTCCTTGTATTAATTTAATTATTTATGAATGATTGTTTTTAAAGAAATTTCTAAGAAATCGCTTCATTTTATTAATATTTTTCTTGCTTCTCGAATCAATTATTAACGGACGTATACAAAATCCAAAGTATAATTTATCATTCGTTCATTAATTAAGTGTACAATTGTTGGTATTCTTTTAATCGTATAATTCAAGTTTTATTTCATCGTTATATTTAATTTGATTTTCATGTTTGTGCAGTTTTGGGATACGCGAACCCCTAATCCAATGTTAACAATTAATTTGCCAGAACGATGTTACTGTGCAGATGTGGTAATTATCATGAAAAACTAATTACTACAATAAAATTAATGATATTAAATTTTTCTTTATTGTCTTCCATCATGTTCTAGGATTATCCAATGGCTGTTGTGGGAACAGCGTCCAGAGGATTAATAGTTTATCAATTAGAAGGAACTCCACAAGAATATAAGCGAATTGACTCACCTTTAAAGTATCAGCACAGATGCGTTGCTATTTTTAGAGATAAAAAGAAAGCCCCGACTGGATATGCTTTAGGTAGCGTAGAAGGTCGTGTTGCTATTCAGTATGTCAATGCTGTAAATCCCAAAGATAACTTTACATTTAAATGTCATCGCTCAAATGGAACGCCAAATGGCTATCAAGATATATATGTGGTATTAATTTATAAAAATATCTTAGTCTTAGTATAAGAAGTATTAATTTCCTTTTGTAAATGATTTTTTTTAACGAATTTTATCCCAGGTAAATGATATAGCATTTCATCCGGTTCATGGTACCTTAGCAACAGTAGGAAGCGATGGCACATTTAGTTTTTGGGATAAGGATGCCCGCACAAAACTTAAACCATCCGAGGCTATGGAACAACCTATCACTCGATGCTGCTTTAATCATAATGGTCAAATATTTGCTTATTCTGTCTCCTATGACTGGTCTAAGGTGAGATAAATAAATCCATTTCAACAATTATACATCGAGATTGTAATTTTTAGCGTTAAATATAAAAAATTAATTTTTACTTTGTCATTATGACATTCTATTAAATATTTTTAATTATATTTCAGGGGTATGAGTTTTACAATCCATTGAAGAAAAATTATATTTTCCTTAGATCTTGCTATGATGAATTAAAACCTAGAAGTACATCGTAAATAATAAATATCATTTACTTTTTGTATATTAAAAAATGTAAATCGTATCATACAAATATCATTTGAAAATACATTTTTTTTAGTAAGGTACTCTGTATTTATTCAAGATTAAATTTGTTTATTATATTAGAATATGTTCATAGCTATGACATTGTTTATATTAGAACTCGAGGCTCGTTTAAATGAAAATTGAATATAAAAATTAATCAATTTACATAACAGACTTTATTTCACAGCTGTTTCTGTTTCCATACCAAAAATGTCTTACATTATATTAAACGGTAATTAATAATTATAACATTTGACGCCGACATTTATGTGGTATGCAAAGATAGTCATTCTACACAGTAAAGCATAATTATCTTATACAGTATACATATATTAACAACTTTTTTTTTTGGCAAATGTGAATGGTCTTCACAATTTAGATTAATTGTATTTACATTAGTTTAATTTGCATATTCATTATGCTAAATAGTTGTATGTTACATCGTCGAAGATAAAAAATAAAAATAAAAATAAAAATAAAAAAAAAAATAAATAACAGCTTCAAAATAAAATAATGAAATTTTCCGATACATACAAAAATAACTGTACAAAAATCTTATGAAATAATAATTACTACAAGTATTTACAATCTAGTAGTAATTCTATTATTTTAACATAAATATTTTCAATTTACAGGCATATTGTATCTATTTTCTATAGTTTTCATTTGTACATTAATCTGTTATATTATAATTTATTTGATCTTTTAACAATTTTACAAAGCCAAGTCTATTTACAATGAATAAAATTTAAAGAAAATTACTAGCAGTGGTAAAATATACGTTTTGATGTTTCTTCTTTCTTATTCTTCTGTTTTTTTTCTTCGTTCAATTAGAAAAATTAATCGAATTCACACTGACTTGTTGATGAATGTATACACTTATTTATATATTTATATACAAACATATAAACATGATTGCTCGACTCGTAAACTGTCAGCATAAACGATTTACAATCATTAATTTTAATCATTAAACAAGACAGTAATATTAGCGATATAAAATTATTTTTATCTTTAATATTTTAAATATTATATAAGTTCAAGCATTTGCAAAGCGAGTGGATTAATTAAATTTTGAGAAAATATCTTTTTAAAATTATGCAATATTATTAACGATAAAAATAAAATTCAATTACAAATAGTTGTGAATATGTTACATTTCTTGCTTATCACTGACAGTTTGATAATTAATAGTAGACTTTACTTTAATAACAATTGCTTTTTATTTCTTCGATGAAACTTTATTCTTATCACTATCTGACTGCTGTTTCAAGCTTATGACCAAAGTATCAGGCACTAATTCTCCAATAATTTCCTCATTCTTCCAACGCAAATCAAGATTGTTCATCATCTTCCATTTCGTCACCTTTAGTTCTTTTTGAATTTGATTGCACATTTTTAGAATCAACTTTTAATTTCTTATCTATATTACTTTCAACATCACCAATATCTACTTTAGGCGTAGACATATTTTTACTCTCAAGGATTTCGGATGGCGTTGCTATTTCAATCTGTATGACACCCTTCTTGGTCGTAGAAATTTCAGCAGTCATGTGTTTACTTACTGGCTTCTTATCCTCAAAGATTTCAATAGGATTAATGTTTACAAATCGTTGCTTTTCCTTAATAAATTCATTCATAGAAAAAATATCAATATCTAAAAATCCTTGTATTACTACAAGATTGCTTTCGTTAAGGATATAATATATCGTAATAGGCAAATAGTTGTTTAAAAAATTGTCAAACTCAGCCGAATGTGATTTCGCATCATCAATATTAAAAGCAGTCTTAACATCTTGAATGATAAATGATTTTATGACTTCTGCACCGGCTTTCATACCAACCAATTCTGGATAATTTTTTATATTATACGCTGTCTGCCAAAATAAATACGATAGCAAATACTGCTTATTCACTTCCGGATACAATTCCTGATAAGTGGCTATTACGGATGCATCAGGCTTAACTTGACTTAGTTCTTGCAAAAACCATATAATTCTCGCTAACATACTCGTATCTTTTATCATTTCTTTTGGGAGACCTCTTTTATTCATAATTAACGAAAAGATATTTGAAATAGTAGTACTTTGTATCATAATACCTAAATTAAATCTCGTCCCAAATAATTCATTAACCATAATTTTTTTCATTAACATCCAGTTATCTTCTTGAGTGGACAGATTTTCTATATAATTATTTTTGAATTCAATGTTTATGTTTATAAAAAGCACTGGCGAATCCTCCGTGATAAAGGCTTGCATGTGAGCAAAACTTAACTTTCTTTCGTGCAATGCTGAAATTTTGGCGGCTGCGTCGGTTATGGTTCCCATTGATGGTTGATTCTGTGTAAAAAAAATAAACAAATGCCATCGTTTCCAGATTTAATTAAAACTTTTTCAAAACGGCAAACGAAAGCTAATTACAAAAATATGAAAACCATTCATTGCTTCTAAATGGTCGATATCAAAGTTTGCTTCCGATAAATAAAAATGCAATGATTGTGCAAAACATGTTATTTTATACGTTCAAAAATATTATTCTTATATTACAAATTCTTTAGATCGACGAATATTACAAAATCGAAAAATATAATTTTTATATGTACAAACGACTACAAATTACTACAAAAATACAAGCATGAAAAATTTGTTTAATGGCAAAGCGTATGCGCACACGTGTGTTAAAATCAACTTTATGTGCTTACTTTAAATACATTCAACACGCCGGCGCACACACGCTTATGCCCACCGTACATACACACACGCGCGCGCGCGCGCGCACACACACACACACACAAACACAAACACATCCACGTATACAGACACAATAAAGCTCTAAAGAACATCTCTTGACGCTGACATAAACGTTGTTATCGTTTGATAATGGATAATATCCAAATGGCCACACCTTCTAGGAAAATTATAGTTAAGCACCAAATAGTACAAACCTGAAATGTTAACTGTTGAGTTAAAATTTCTCTGAGCGTGCCCTTAAGTCGCTCAAACATTGACATATCTGTCGGAGCTTTTAACTGAGCTTCATCTTTTTGTACAGTACCACCTGTAACATTAAAACAAAATTTTGTGCACATCCATATACCAAACGGGTACTCCTAAATATATATATATATGTGTGTGTAATTAAAATAATGCTTACCTATAGTAACAATTAAAGGAGCATGAGCTAATGCTTGAATTAATTGACTGGCTTCTAAGCTAAATAGAAAGACAAAGGGAATTTTAACGTCATCGACTGGCTTTCCATCACCGGACATGGCGAACATAGGAGAATTCTGGACACTGGAAGAAGGTACGTTGTCTAGCACTATTCCAGCTATAGCGCCAGCTTTTTGTATTCTTCGGGCCTGAAGGGAATTAATCATTAAATAATAACTATCACGATCGACCATTCACCTTCGTATAAAGATGAATTAATAAAAACGAAAAATACTATTTACAGCAATTTCAAATTAGCATATAAATGTCTTACATCTATAAAAGGATGTATTTATATATTATTGAAAAATTCATTCTATTTGGAGTAGTATAGGTAATGGATAAAAAATCAAATAATAACAATAATAATAAATTAAAAGAAAAAAAAAAAAAGCCACTCACCTTATCGATAAACATGCAGTCTCCTCTGTTCACAACTGCGATCGAGCCTTTCAATAGCTCAGCGTTAATCAAGTCTTGGCAACCTATGAAAGGGTGTGCAATTACCACCTTTCCGGTGACCTTATCGTTCTTTAAATCAGCGCCAAAGTGTGCGGGACCAGCCAACAAAGTGACTTTTTCGGGCGGTTCGGTGTTAGGTTTAAAGAACGTAAAGAGTACCGGCTTGGACTTGGCTTGTTGAGCTTGAAGTTTACTAAACTCAACCATTTCTTGCATAAAGAGCAGACCCTCCTCCGCGTCCTGAGATGTTTTGGCATTAGAAAACGTGTGCAGTAACTGAACACTTCCATCGCCCACAGTCAATATGGTAATGCCCATATCACTAAGCATCATGGAGTGCTCGAGGTTATTTGGTTGAAACTGAGAAGCGCTTAGTCGTTTTTTTACTGGACGTTTTGGACATACATCTTCGACCATATTGCGCAATGGTTGTCTAACCGAGGCAGGAAACAAGTGTAAACTATTTGGACATGTACGGTCCGTTTCTTCAACATGAACCTTTTCTCTTTCAATATCCTATAACAATAATTGTCTCTTAAACTACTGAAAAATATATACATTTTTAATATTATGTCTGATTGATAAAGAAACATTATATTGCAAAAGTATACAGAATATCTTGTATTTCTTAAGAAAAATAACACGGGCGAAAAAGCTTGTATCGATATATAGAAAAACAATTTCATTCGAATGTCAATTTAGATTAATAAAAATCCACACCAAGCATGTATAAATATTTAATTACTCAATTAATTATCATTATAATGTTCAATCATTATAATGTTTATACATTTTATCAAGCAATACAAAATTTATATTATATTTATAGTATATATAATGGCGAGCCTTAACAATGCTAGGCTTACGTATAATTTATAATTTTCAGCTAAAAAGAAAATTTACCATTGTTACATTTGTTCTAACCGAGGCTAAAGATAATGGTAGCAAATGACCTTCGGTTGTGAAAACATATTCATCGAGATCCAATAGCAAATCGCTTGGATCAGCGAATAATAAAAATAAATACTTGAAGGTTTCTGATAATACGAAACTATCCATAGTATCATCGTGTTTGTTGGTTCTAACATCAGAAACAGCAGCAAATCCACATGGTACTCTGGCAAAGGTTTGAAGACTTTTAAGAACCTTTCTACCAACTCCTAAATAATAGTGATCACCGGTTGCTTTATACAAAAAGTAAGTAGATTCTAAAAACTCGGGTCTTAATGGATGATAGCCCCAATGTACCTGAAATTCATGATATTTAATATTTTTTCTAAAGATAAAAGGAGACGGTTTTGGCACACTTGCTTTGATCCTCTCAAAAATGTTATTAGTACATATATTTGATACACATATATATTTATATATTTGGGTGTGGTGCTGTGTGTATGTGTGTATAGTTGTCCGTGTGTCTGCCAATGCTACGTATAGCGATGCACGGATATCAAATTTCGCATTACGTTTATAACACGAGGCCAACTTGTATAAAAAGTGCAAAGGTTAAGGTAACGCAATTGCAAAAACTATTCGTCACGAAATCAAAAACTGCTGACTGCGATTTACGGCCAAGTAAAAATCACGAGATTCTTTTATTCAACGTTTCCTCAGTTTTAAATAACTATCGATAAAAAAAAAATTAAAAAAAAAAAAAAATATATATATATATATATATATATATATATATGTACGTATTTTTATTAAAAATAAAAATTATTAGAATATTTAAAGAACAAACTTTTCGATCTTAAAATTTTTTTCAGTGTAAACAAGTCAAACTAATTTAAAGAATTATCAAACGATTAGTGCAATAACAGTAAGAACGGTTTTTTTTTTTTTTTTTTTTTTTTGAGGTAGTCAATTACATGTCCAATGTTCCTTACTCCTTTTAGCAGCTGAACAAATCAATAATATTGTTATTATTGTATATTACTTGAAAATCCGTAGTAAATGCTTCTGGAATAAAATTATGCCTTTGCATAACTTGATAAAGCATCTCATGCGTTTCTACAGCCGGCTTAATATCACCTTTCAGTACCTTGAAATATTAATTTAAAAATATATAATTTATCGTGCGCCAATGGAATGAAAATTAATTCAATATACAATGGAAAATTTGATATAGAGATCTTACTTGCACTCCAGGCCAAAAAGCTAATAATGCATCCATGAAGTTTTTTGAATTTGTATTTGGTCGGTGCATGTGAACATCTAACAACATTGGTCCTTGGCTGATATACTTCATTATAGCTTGATAATGCTTATTGAATCGACCTAAATATTTTTCATCGCCTATATAATAATGAAATTAATTACTATGGACAAAGTAATAAGTAAAATTTCCATAAACGCTTATGACATGACTCGTTACAAACCAAGAAGAATATAAGCTTTTAAGCAGTATTCATAATACGAATCAATTCCAGCTCCGACACCAGAGTCTCTACGAACCCAATCTCCAGAATTAACATTCAATACGGAACCCATTAAATCGGTTCCACGATGCCGCAACTTCCACAATACATCCATAGCTTTCTGGGCTTTTTCCTGCTCATTAAATATTCTTACATTATGCATTCTCCGAGTGGCCAAGTGCCGACGTACCAAGGAACGTCAAAAAACTTTACCTCAAATATTGACTCTCCGGTTAATCTAGACAACGCAGCCATTTCTAATATCATACTGCCAGCGCAAGCAGTACAAGTCTCTCTCGTCATTTCCAAAGGGACGCCTTTCATCCCGTATTTTAAATTTATCTATAAAACAAAATAGCTTTAACCTCTCCATTATCGTTGTCTTGAAAGATTACAGATTGGCAGAGAGACACTTACTCTTCCAAATGGTATTCCCATAGTTGTATTAAATGCAGGTAAGAATCTATACCCCAAATCTTTGGCTAAATTTAACAGTTCACCTCTGTACCAAGGCATTGCATTTTCAATTGGCTAAAATATGACCGCTTAAAAGACCTCTAGAAAAAATATATACGACTCGTTATTATTTTTACTTATACTAATAGTGTTGTAAAGTAATATTATTACAAGTAATAGATACCCTAGAACTCGGATATTCGTTTCAAATAATGAAACTATAACATCTGTATCAAATGTAACATCTTTAATAACAAGTTTCACAGCATTTTCAAACTCTTCTAAATTGCCCATTACCTGAAATGGAAAAATAAATGTAACAAATTCTTTATGAAGTAACTAATCGATCGGGAAATTCAGATGCAAGCATAGTAGAACTTACTACGAGCGTATCGAGAGTGTCCACCAAAGTTAGAGAATAGCTAAAAAAAAAAAAGAAATGAAAAAGGAAATAAATTGCCAGTTATGCGATTAAGATGCAAGTAAATATAAAATTTTTCAAAATAATTCTTTTTAAAACGTCAAATTACTCTATTACTTTGCAAAGCAAAATGAATATAACGTTTAATGATAATCAACGTCTCTTACTTTCCTAGAGTGGAATCTATGTCTCCTCGATCTGGCTCCGATCCACGATACCTCCCTTTGCAACTCAATGGCATTAATTCATCGGCAGGGTATGCATTATTCATATAGGCATAATAGGCGTGATAAAACATGTTTCGTGCTTCGTGTCTGCATAAAAAGAAAAGAACAAACACAAAATTATGGCCAATCGATCGATTGATATAATAAAGTAATAAGCGAGTGAATTAATACTAACTTCAATGTCTCTCGCTCTTCCCTGCTCATGTATTCTATCCTACCGTCGTCGAATAGCTCCACAGCTTCCTGCAAACTGCATCCTAATAAGAGCAGCAGCATACAGCCATGGTAAACGATGATTCTCCTTGCCATGTTCGACCAATTATAAATGTATTTTGCTTTGTCAAGAGGTAACAATTGCAACGGCACTCATTGTTCTGCCAGCTCGAATCGTGCCTCTCACAACTATATTCAATTAAGAATTTCTAATCATATCTCGAGTACTGCATCATTAACTTTTACTTCCTGAAACTTTAGACACTAACGCCATACGCACACTCGGACAAAAGTCCAGTATAACCCGTCTTTAATTGCATGTATATAACAATAACGAAGCTATCGATGATCACACCGCTTTAAAGAAAATGCCACGGCATTGAAAAATATGGAGAATTTTTTTGTAAAAACATCGTCGCGTTGCACCGCCACGCTAAATTTCATAATTAATTCGATGTCGAGCTCGATAAAACAAGGAATTGATAGATGTCGGGGAGTCGTAAAAAAAAAATCAACTCGTGGCTCTTGGACAAGCGGCCGTGTGCGACATCGAAGGGGAAAAGATAAAGCAGCGATTCGTAGGCGAAACGAGCTTTATTATCGGAGTCAAAACGACTATGAAATAAACAATCACGACCGAATGAGACACGAAAGCTATAAGTATATGCCTGAGTGAGCAAAGCAGAACAGATTGAGAAGAAGAATAGACGTGAAGGAAGACTGTGGCGATACACGAGGCGATGACACGAGTTAACCATCCACACGGAATGAGCTGGCGAAAAAATAAATATACGAGCAAGTGGAGAGAAACGGCGCCGATTAATATATATTTCTACAAGTATATATATATATATATATATATATATATATATACATGAATATGAATATGAATATAAATATAAATATAAATCTTTATCGTATGTATCATTCACCTGCTGTAGATGCCTGTGCGTGTGAGTGTGCGTATATAAATATATATATATATATATATATATATATAAAGAAAAAAAAAGAAAAAGATAGAAACGGATGATGTGGCTAATTTATTAAGCGGCGAAAAATCACGGCTTATGATCTAAAATCGCTTTTACCATGGAGATCTGCTGCTGGTGCAACGTCGTCGACGTCTGCTGTTGCTGTGCGTGGCCGTTCATTACTAATCGCAGCATAATAATTTGATGTCCTTATTATCGCGCGGAATGGCGCTATCTTTCGTTGGCTCGCAGCATTGTTGTTTTGTTCTTTCGAGCCACGGACAATTTTTTTTATTGATTGAAGAAAGTATACTCGTGAGCGCCCACCGCGTCGTCTACGAGACGGAGTTGTCTGCCCATTAACTTCGGCGTCGTTCAGTCCCGGCTCGATTGAAATTGTAAAACTTAGAAGGGAATCTTCACCTGCTTGCGCCCAGACTGCCAGAGCTGCGATTTGTCACACGAGTCACAAACTCACCACATTGGCTGCCATTTTGATCCTGAGCATTACACTCGTCGTGTGCAACAAAGAGAGACGGATATATCATAAAAAGATGTTTTTTTTTCTCTATTCCGTTAGATTAGATAGGGCTAAATAACGGTGAACCGACGTTTTGATGTAACATCGTAGTGAACTGTAACGTGGCAATTGATTTTGTAAATTTTGTAAACTTCTTGCCATATTGATATGAACTTTTACGATTATATACAACATAAGCGAATTTAAATTATTTAAATATAATCACTTGGTTGTGCCGTTTTAACATAACACCCATTTTCCATTATTTTAACTCGATATTAATGATAATTGTAAATAAATTGATAATAAGATATAAGATCATGAGATTGATGCATATTTATCTGATGTTGATTAATATACGTAAAAGAATTTTGTGTCTAAATAAACGTTTCATTACCAAGGATATTATCAACCTCGTATGGTTTATTATTATTATTATTATTATTATTAGGAGATTTTGCTTATAAAAAAAGAACATTGTCTGAAAAAATCGTTTTTATGCTATTCAAATTTAACAGACATGCACGTTATTTTTATAAATAACAATAAGGAATGTGAATATATAAGTTACGAGATTATTTTAACAATATTACATATAAAAATTAAATTTAAAATATTTAATAAATGTGAATAAATTTTGTATTGTGAATATTACAATTGGATTTTTAATCAATTATATATATATATATATATATATATATATATATATCATTATACAGCGATTTAATATTCCGTTTTTCGATGTACAATCAATCGTCATCGCTCCATTTATACTTTAATCATATGAAAAAATTGAATTTAATCCTATTATGAAGTCAAGTACAAAACTTACCTTTTCTTTTTATTCTTCTTCTTCTTTTTTCTTCTTTTTTCTTTCTTTTTTTTTCCAATAACGCCTAAATAAATAAATCACATTCGATACTGTTCCATTGTTATTTTAAAGTATTAATTATGCTGCATGAACTTCTAACTTTTATAAACAAAACTTCCATTAGCTATATTAATTGAGTTAAAGACACGATCGGTTTAAATTTCCCGCTTATTATTGCTACTACTACTATTATTATTATTATTATTATTATTATTATTATTATCGTTATCATTATTATTTTATTTATTTTTTCAATAAAGACAAACTTACATGCAGTTGAGTGGCTAAAGCAATATATTTACATTTATAGTATTTTGCGAGCGTTAATTTGCGTAGAATATTAAATAATAAGAGTTCCAATTTAAAGTAGTAATGTCAATGATACATATTTTGGACAAAAGATAATGATGCATCGCATATATGACGATTAAATATTTTTAATTTTGTGCCAATCATTTTATATAGAATTATCACGTACTACATATTAAATAAATCGTCTATGCTGTGCACTATTTATTTACAAAGTGAGAAGTAATAATTGTATGATACCAGAGTAAAGGTGTTGGGTAGAATTGTTAATGCTGTCAAGTTTATTGTCATCATGTTTTGTGTGTAATCGTTATACGATTGCGTAGTTATGTATTCTTAAGATTTGATTAAAGAATTATTGAACATTAAGGATTTTTAATAACGCAACTTTTCTTTGGTGTGTTTTTTGTTGTTGGACAAATAGCGAATATGTTTGGTAAAAAGAAAGAAACGCAGAAGAAACAACGTGTACCTAGAAATAATCAAAGTTTAGAAAAGGTTATTTTACTGCTTATATTACATTATACTTTAATATTTAATCTTGCATTATACATTTAGCGCTACTAATAATTAGTATATATTTTTATTTTTCACTTTTTATTCTAATTGTAAGCGCATCATTTTTTCAGTTTGGTATTTTTGATATACCAGATAATTTGGATGATCTGAGCGGACCAATCGATTATGATAGTATCGACGATGAAGATTTAGAAGCAGAATTAGCTGCATTGACAGTTAGCGGTCGACCAAAAAGACCAGCACCTAAACGACGTAATCAAAACTTACCTTTAACGCAAAACAATGTTTAATATTCCTATACTAATTATTTATAATTATTTGTTGTATGTAATTAAAGCGGCTCCAAATCCAGCTATGAATTTGGACGATATGATTAAAGAAAGTATGAAAGATATTGATTCTGATGAAGATTTATCTGGTGATGAAAATGATCTTGTTTTGTTGGTAAATTTTTTTAGATTTCATTCGATTTCATTAATAATTATATAAAATGTATCATTACGCTGCCTGTCGACAATAGAATGTCTTAATTGCCTGTAATATGATAAAATTCTTTAATGAAATGCTTAAGTATCTTAACTCATCTTCAACATTGTTGTATAATGTATTGTAAATATTTATACAATTTATCTATTTGTCATCAGGACGAATTAAAAATAATCACAGGAGATGTAGCGGAGGAGAAAATTGATACGGCAGATCATACGGAAAATGATAGTGCAAATGATACGATTAAATTATTAGAAGAACGTTTGGCTATGTATAAAAAAGCAGAACAAAGGGCAAAATCTAATAACGAATCGAGTAGAGCAAGGCGATTTGTTAGAGGTATAAAAACCTTGGAACAATTATTGTCATCGTGTAGATTGGGAAATACGATCGATGAGAGTGACATCCCGCCAGCTCTTCCATTATCAGCTTTAGGAGAATCTGTTCCAAAGCCAAATACAGGTAGTGATAATTATTCATCGATTGACTTATATTATATAGGAGTTGCATTAAAAAGCCATCCACGTGATTAATTACATATTTCTATATATATTTTGCATAAAAAGATGAAATACCAAGTTCAGAGGAATGCGTTAATCCTCCAGCAGAGGTGGCTGTAACACCAAGGGACAACTCACTAGTTGATGAGCAACAGTCGGCAGGTCCATCGGCGGGTCCATCGGCAAATGTTGTCGAAGAATCGCCGGCGCCTGAAGTTGATAATGAGACTTTAAACATGTTAAAAACTCGGCAGAAAGAATATAAAACCGCGGCTTTGATGTGGAAAAGGGCTGGTAATCAGGAGGAAGCTTTAAAGTACATTAAAATATCTAAGCAATTCGAGACCGTGATAAATGCAATTTTACAAGGGAATACAATTGATTTATCAGACATGCCATCGTCGCCAATATTTCCAAGCCATACGTCTATTTCCGTTGAGCCTGCCGAAGAAAATAAGGAAGAGAGCTCCAATCAGACGACTGCTGCTATTCAGCCGGATACAGCACGTAGTGATATAAAACTTACCTCTAATGTTTCACATCTAATTCCGTGATAATAAAATGAAATTTCAATTATTGTTGTATTAGCGGCCACACCACAATCAACGGATAGTCCGCAGTCTTTGGAAAATGCTCTTAAGGAGCGCTTAGAAGTTTATCGTCGTTCTAAAACAGTAGCGGAAACCGAAGGGAATTCATCCAAAGTTAGAAGATACGGTCGTATATGTAAACAATTTGAGGATGCTATAAAATTACATGCTAAAGGTAAAACAGTTCCTATAGATGAATTGCCAACACCACCTGGTCTCCCTCCACTTTCTAATATTAGAGGATCTACCGAGGCTACTCCAAAATCAGCTCCTCCCAATCCATCGGAAGCATTGAAATCGAAAATAAACGATCGGACGGAAGCATCGGAAGCATCGGAAGCATCGGAACCATCGGAACCGTCGGAACCGTCGGAACCGTCGGAACCGTCGGAACCATTGGAACCGAGTTCGGCAAAAGCTTCGACACCAACTGCACCTCCACGAGCAAACATGGGTACAGCGAGAGACAATTGAAAATTTTATCACCCTTTTTATTATATTTATTTATTTGGTCTATGATTTTAGATAAAAAGAAAAAATTAACATCTCGCGTTGATAAGCAAATTGAAGTATTACAACAACGTAAATTAGAATTAAAAATGGCCGCCTTAAGGGCCAAAAAAGACGGTGACGTGGATTTAGCTAGAGATTACCTTAGACAGGCTAAAGGAATCGATCCACTGCTTGACGCAAGTCTATCCGGCCTTCCTGTTGATATGAATTCAATTCCACTGTCACCCGAGGCGAAACTTCAACTCGAAGAACAAGAATATAACGCGGCAAATATAAGCGACGATAGCTTTACGCTCATCTCATCGATGGACTGTGTGGAAGAGGCCACGGGCACTGATCAAGAGATTTATGAAAATCTTAAAGAACAATTGAAAAAACAAATTAAAGTATGTACTCCCTCGAAGTCTTTCGTGTTCAAGTTTCACGATAATATAATCGACATTAAATTATAATTTATAATTTTAGTGGTGTTTGACAACGAGAGATCATTGTAAAGCTCTTGGTGACGTTTCAAGCTACAACAAATGGGAACGTCTTGCCTTAGATTACAAAAAAGATCTCGACATGTTGAGAGTGATTGAGCGCAATAATCTTCCACCGCCCAAACATCATTACGAAATTAAAACTTATTCGATTGTGCAGTAAGTGCCTATTAAATGTTTATGAAATTGCATATTACGATGTTATTATTTCATTATTAATCACCACAGATGCTGCACAGATTTGGCTGACGCTGATATTGAAATTTCAATTATTAGAGGTGTAAATTATCCCAAAGAAGTTGATAGCTACGTAATCTTTGAATTTCCCTGGCCCAGCGATGCCCCGACAAGCAATAGAACGTCAACGATAAGGGGAACTAATAATCCAGAATATGACGTAACTGTCCCGTTTACTGGAATTATCGATAGAAAATCCCGACAATGCCTAAGGCTTTTCAAAAGGCATTCGCTCAAATGCCAAGTGTGGTCCAAAGGGTAAGATAACTTTATATTTATATTGTTTTTTTGATGTTTTTGCATTTTATTAATCCAAAAGTACTATTGATTTTACAAATTATTTATTTATTTACCTATACATTCGTATTTATGATCACGGATCATTAATCAACTAATAAATACTTACAAAGGAAAGCGGCTCTTAATTCAATTCCTAAGTATCTTTCATAATTATGTGATGTTTTATTTAAATAAAAAATAAAATAAAAAAACTTGTGAAGAATAAATTCACTTTTGTTGTATAGTATCAATTAAAATTCATACTAGTATATTTAATTGCATAGATATAATTACATCATTAATGCAATACAGTGTATAATCATTAAATATTAAACAAAAAAATTCTGATTCGATATTGCTTTATTTTTAAAGTTTTTAAATAGCGTAATGATGTAATATAGCATAGACTGGCAAAATCATATTAGATTAATATTATTCAAATGTTACAGAATATAACACGATGCTTTAATTTATTTTAATGGTTTAATTTTCATGTAAAATTAACGTAATAACAATATTTACACTCTTCATTGAGTATTTAAATTTTTAAAAAAAAATTGTACATTCAAATTTCATATATTAATACTACTATTTTTAATCTCTCCTTTATTAAACTATTTTTTATTAGATAATAAAGGATCTAATCGTAAGAATCTATTGACTGTGTGTAGAGTTTTGTGTACAATTAATACAATAAAAAAAAAAAAAAAAAAAAAAAAGCTTGAAAACTTGTAATTCCTTATTTTAAGAATATATATTGTACTTCATTTTTTTCTCGTCAATAAAATCATTGGTGAATTATAATTAAAATTGGCTGATGGCTGATAATTTAATTTAAAGATATTCTATGTATAAACAACGATTAATATTAACTCTAAATATTAATTAAAATCTTTTAAGATACTTGTACTTACATCTTAAGATTTAATTATAATTCTAAGATTATCATAGTACATAGTGTAGGATGTTGCTTGCAGATGCTCCCTGAATCCGATCCTCTGTTGCACTCATCCAAGGTATGCAAGTTTCATAGAATTGTTTAATAGAATTAATCGAATTTGGATCGCTGGCGAATGATAATTTTATCAGTATTTGCTCATTTATTTTCGTGAATATTTAATTGGCTTTTGTCATCTATTTCTTTATCTCATATATATATATATTTATACTCTTTATTATTATAATTATTATCATTATCATTATTGTTGTTGTTGTTGTTGTTGTTGTTGTTGTTGTTGTTGTTGTTGTTGTTGTTGTTGTTGTTGTTGTTGTTGTTGTTGTTGTTGTTGTTGTTGTTGTTGTTGTTGTTGTTGTTGTTGTTGTTGTTGTTGTTGTTGTTGTTGTTGATAATAGTAGACAGTGAAACCGAATACACGAGCAAACTGTAAAGCAACAAACTTTTTTTTTTAATAATTTTTTTAATAATTTTTTTATTAATTTTTCTTACCTTTGTTGTTTTTTATTTTTATTAAATTAAACAATACTTGCTACAATGATTATTTAATTCCGTATTTTAGAGGATTTCTACGGGCCGATAGTCTGGTAGGGACTGCAAACATTAAATTGCAACCTCTAGAAACCAAATGCATTCTACACGATTCATTTCCTGTAAGTTCTATTATAGTATGGTAATCACTATTAGCACCATTGATTTTATTTAACTCTTGTAAATTTTACAGCTGATGGATGGTCGAAAAGCGGTGGGTGGTAAACTAGAAGTTAAAATAAGATTACGCAATCCGATATTAACGAAGCAAATCGAACAGAACAAGGATAAGTGGTTGACTATTGACCATTAATATATTATTACTATTGGACGTATGTCATTAAAATACCAGACTCAACGCTAAAGCTTTAAACTGATGTTTCACTCATATATGAAAGATATTAAAATTTGTGCGCCGCATAATTGCTTGAAAGTATTTCTACGAACATTTTGTAAATATGTGTCAATATTTTTTATAACGTAAAAAATTAGGTACATATGATTAATAGAATTAGCAAAGTTTTATTTTGACTATGCGTTAAAGCGCGCAAAATCAATGTCTCGATGAAAGTACAGGCTGGGATAAATTTAATTTTAAGTCTTACACAAATGTTATTCATTATATGAGAACAATTACAAAAAACAATAAATATAATTAATGTAATGTACGCTTACAATTTATTGAGATTCTATTGCTAAGAGAAAAGTCATGTGAACAAAGTGAAATAAATATTTGTGCAAGATATTGAGCAAGAGATCGAGAAATAGATAGATAGATAGTGTGTGTGTGTTTGTATGTGTGTGCGCGCGCGCACGCGCGTGAGTGAGAGAGAGAGTGAGAGAGAGAGAGAGAGTAATAATGACCGTGTTGTAGGTGAAAAAGTCATTTACGCGCTGACTGTAGGTGAAAGAGAGATGAAAGAGCAGCGATTAAAGCTGAGTTGGCATTTTCCATGGCTGGAACAATACATCAGGTGAATTCTACTAACAAACTATTGTCCGGTAATCGTTTCTGTCTTCTCGTTTCTATATCGACGTAGCGCGCGTACGCATGAGCCATTTTCTACTCACTACTACACCTACTCGGTTTGTATCCTCGTGTTCAGAATTTTGGGCGAAATAACGACGATAATAACATTTTATACAGATTTATTGTG